GTAGCAGTAGAATATAAAATTATAAGATGTAGAATATAAAGTTATATGATTTAGCAGTAGAATATAAAGTTATATGACGTAGAATATAAAGTTATATGATGTAGAATATAAAGTTATATGATGTAGCAGTAGAATATAAAGTTATATGATGTAGAATATAAAGTTATAAGATGTAGAATATAAAGTTATATGATTTAGCAGTAGAATATAAAGTTATATGACGTAGAATATAAAGTTATATGATTTAGCAGTAGAATATAAAGTTATATGATTTAGCAGTAGAATATAAAGTTATAATAGAATATAAAGTTATATGATTTAGCAGTAGAATATAAAGTTATATGATGTAGAATATAAAGTTATATGATTTAGCAGTAGAATATAAAGTTATATGATGTAGAATATAAAGTTATATGATTTAGCAGTAGAATATAAAGTTATATGATGTAGAATATAAAGTTATATGATTTGTAGAATATAAAGTTATATGATTTAGCAGTAGAATATAAAGTTATATGATGTAGAATATAAAGTTATATGATTTAGCAGTAGAATATAAAGTTATATGATGTAGAATATAAAGTTATATGTAGAATATAAAGTTATATGATGTAGAATATAAAGTTATATGATTTAGCAGTAGAATATAAATTTATATGATGTAGAATATAAAGTTATATGATGTAGAATATAAAGTTATATGATGTAGAATATAAAATATAAAGTTATATGATGATGTAGCAGTAGAATATAAAGTTATATGAATATAAAGTTATATGATGTAGATATAAAGTTATATGATGTAGAATATAAAGTTATATGATTTAGCAGTAGAATATAAAGTTATATGATGTAGAATATAAAGTTATATGATGTAGCAGTAGAATATAAAGTTATATGATGTAGAATATAAAGTTATATGATGTAGAATATAAAGTTATATGGTTTAGCAGTAGAATATATAAAGTTATATGATGTAGAATATAAAGTTATATGATTTAATATAAAGTTATATGATTTAGCAGTAGAATATAAAGTTATAAGATGTAGAATCATTACGTTATAAACATCGTAAGATATATAATTATCACATCGTAAGATATGTTATTATCACATCGTAAGATATATAATTATCACATCGTAAGATGTACAACTATTACGCCGTAAGATGTACAACTATTACGCCGTAAGATGTACAAATATTACGACGTAAGATGTACAAATATTACGCCGTAAGATGTACAAATATTACGACGTAAGATGTAGAACTATTACGCCGTAAGATGTACAAATATTACGACGTAAGATGTAGAACTATTACGACGTAAGATGTACAAATATTACGACGTAAGATGTAGAACTATTACGCCGTAAGATGTACAACTATTACGCCGTAAGATGTACAACTATTACGCCGTAAGATGTACAACTATTACGCCGTAAGATGTACAACTATTACGCCGTAAGATGTAGAACTATTACGCCGTAAGATATACAACTATCTTGCCGTATGATGTATTATGTCGATGTAGAACTATAATGCCGCTCTCTATTATTGGAAACTACACTGATTTTTGTACACTTTTCCCAATGATTCGGTAATAAGTGGTCACGTGTTAACTTGCAATGTTCCTGTATTGTTTTACGTGTCCCGTATGTACACTTATATAGTCGATTGTAGTAAGATGGCAGTGTTTCACATCACTGGAGTTAATGACTGTTTTAAGCGCCCTCTGTTGGTGGATTGCGTGTATCCGAAACATTTTGTCTGCAAAACACACGCGCTTGAGGTCACATTTGGGACTTCACGCTGGTCTGTAAGGCCGTCCCTTACCACAATACTGAGCAGTGTAGCACGTCATCGATATCACAATCAGTCCGCTAAAGGTCAACTGAGGCTGTCAGGAGGTCACAGTATCTGTGTCGACTATCGGTTTATAATTTTTATTCATGAATTGTGTCCAACAACATATATAAATGTATACATCGTCATATTTCCATTATTGTACCAAACCAGCTGACAGAACGTCAACACAGGTTGGAGAATATATTTCATTATCAACGAATCCTACAGATTGACTCGTACATTCCTTCTGAATTTTGTAGCGCACCAGGTGAGCTATCACTGAAAAATGAGAAAAAAAATCTGTGGAAGCTAATTTAAATTAGATTTCTGTGTTCTTCGTATCCCACATCAGTGTTGATACAATTGGCATCATTCATAGAGATTGTAAATGTGACGATAGGGTTAAACGCTTCGCCGCGGTGAGCTAAGTGTAGTAACAATCGTGGTCAGCTGGGTGCGTGACCTGTCATCAGAGCAAGGTACTTACGTAATGAATCTATCCTTAACCTCGTCAGTCCGTATTTTTCAAATCCTTGGACATATACTTGTAAATGTATTACTCATTTTTATGCCCATGGATCGAAAGATCGAGGGTATCTTGTTTTCGTGCTGTCTGTTTGGCTGTTTGTCCGTCTGTCTATCTATAGGTTGTCGATTTTAACTTTGCCCATAACTATTGCTATGTAAGAGATATAGCTTTCATATCTGGCTTGTGTGTTCCTTGGGACAAGACCTTTCCGGCGGTAATAAATTTTTGACCATGTGATCTTGACGTGACCTTTGACCTATATTTGAAACAAGATACCCAGAGGGTCTGTATCGTTCACCTGGATCTTTATGACCAACTGTAAAATATCTGTGCATATGTTCCACAGTAGATGCTGAAAGCAATATGACAAATTATTCTATATGGGTTCTGTCCTTTAGTAGTCCAAATTAAGTCATTTGTATATAAGCCTTAAATGGCCAAATATGATGTGTTTTTGGTTAATCAGAAGAAGTTGATTAACTATTTTACCAAATTTAACCCCAATGACCTTAAATATCATTATGGGTCAAGCTATTTTTTCACACACTATGTGGGCATCATAAAGGGAACCTTTTGGACAAATAGTATGATCCTAAGCCTTTAGCTTAATCAGAAGTTGTTCAAAGGTTTAACACCTTTGGCTGCTGTGACCTTGAATATGGGTCAGGGTCATTTCTGTTCTCAAATATTACCGGGCATCATTGAGAACCAATTTTGGAATAATATCACTCTCCCAGATGTTTTGGAACATCAGAAAATGTAATTTAAAGGTTAAACACATTTGACCCCTGTGACCTTGACTATGGGGCAAGGTCATTGTAGGACACCAAAAGAAGAACATAGTAGCCAAATATAATGATTCTAGGCCTTCCGGTTTTTGGGGAGAAGTCATTTAAAGGTTTTTGAACACATTTGACCTCTGTGACCTTGAATATGCGTCAAGATCATTTCTTTTTGCAAACTCTGTTGTGCTTCATCAAAGGAACCTTCAAGCCAAATATAATCATTCTAGGCCTTTCGTATTTCAGAAGAAGTCGTTAAAATGTTTTAACACATTTGACCTTAGTGACCTTGAATATAGGTCATTTCTTTTTGCAAACTTTGTTGTGCTTTATCAAAGGAACCTTCAAGCTAAATATAATTATTCTAGGCCTCCAGTATTTCAGAAGATGTCGCTTAAAGCTTATAACACATTTGACCTCTGTGACCTTGAATAAGGGTCAACGTCATTTCTTTTTACAATCTTTGTTGGACTTTATCAAAGGAACCTTCCAGCCGAATATAATGATTCTAGGCCTTCCGGTATTTCAGAAGAAGTCGTTAAAATGTTTTAACACATTTGACCTTAGTGACCTTGAATATGAGTCATTTCTTTTTGCAATCTTTGTTGGACTTTATCAAAGGAACCTTCCAGCCAAATATAATCATTCTAGGTCTTCCGGTATTTTGGAAGAAGTCGTTTAAAGGTTTTATTGCATTTGACCTCTGTGACCTTGAATATGAGTCAAGGTAATTTCTTTTTGCAAACTTTGTTGGGCTTCATTAAAGGAACCTTCAAGGCAAATATAATCATTCTAGGCCTTCTGATATTTTGGAAGAAGTCGTTTAAATGTTTTATCACATTTGACCTCTGTGATCTTGAATATGAGTCAAGGTCATTCTTTTTGCAAACATTGTTGGGTTTCATTAAAGGAACCTTCAAGGCAAATATAATCATTCTAGGCCTTCCGATATTTTGGAAGAAGTCGTTAAAAGGTTTTAACATATTTGACCTCTGTGACCTTGAATATAGGTCAAGGTAATTTCTTTTTGCAAACTTTGTTGGGCTTCATCAGAGGAACCTTCCAGCCAAATATGATAACTTTTGGTATTTCAGAAGAAGTTGTTTATATGAAAAGTTGACAGACGCAGGACGGATGACAGTCGATGGACGACGGACGGGCGGACGGATGACGGACACCGCGCTTTGGCATAAGCTCACTTGGCCCTTTGGGCCAGGTAAGCTAAAAAATAACATTGGTCATAACTATTTCATTATAAGACGCAAGGCTTTCATATCTGGCGTGTGTGTTCCTTATGAAAAGAATGTTCTGATGGTATCAAATGGTTTTACCATGTAACCTTGTCCTTGAGCTTTGACCTACATTTGTAAGTGGAAAAAAACATTACCAAAACGAGGACATAAGTGGTTTCGCAATGCATGAAATTAACACATGCCTTACACATTAGAGTTTTAATGTCTCACTTCTGAATTTTGTTGCAACCAGGGCAATAATGTTTCATAAACACATCTTGTTTAACCTATTATCCTTTGTTAGTTTTCAAAATGTAAATTAAACACGTAATAGTAACTGCCCGAGTCCCAACCTTGTAGTAAAAAAGTAAACTTGGAATAATTGTCTCCGTGTTTCATGTACACAACAGTAACCGTCCGAGTCCTAACCTTGCAGTAAGTCAGTAAACTTGGAATTATTGCCTCGTGGTTCTTGTATACAAGAACGGATGTGAAAAGGTAGGTCGTCACCTGTTCGACCTCGTGGGCTTTCCCCAGGTATTCTGGTTTCCTCCCACAGTAAGACCAGTCGCAGTCTTCTAACAAATACATCAAAATACAACACGAAATAATATATTCTAGAATTTTATTTTTATTGTCGTATGATTTCTGGAAATGATAATAAAAGCCTAAACATACAAGTAGAAGCATAGGAATGTAGAAAGATGTGTACAAAAATATACAGAAATATTATTTCATTATCGCACTGGTTACCATTCCAAAATTAACATTAAATAGACATGAAGACACACTGAACATCTGCCATGAAGGAAACTTGCTTTAACCCTAAATAAAAATACTTGTTGAGACCAAGTGTTCACCAGAAATGACATTTAAACCATAGACAAACTTGTGCCGCAAATAAAAGTTACATAAGGCCATGATTCAAAAAGACAAATTTGCATAACATGTGTACAAATTGGTTTAAAAACAATGTGTATAAAAATGATATTCTTGAAACAAACATTTTTTGTATAAAATAGAAGTAAATATGCAAAATTAAAAATAATACAATGTATTGTTTATAGGTATCATTACTTATCATAAAGTATTTTAGACCTGTGGATTCAAATTATACCCCCTGAGGTAAAGTTATTTACCATTTCTTGGGGGTCCAGACAAACAAGACATTTGGGGTCAGGAAATATACCACACATTGGGGGTTCAGACAAACAAGACTTTGAGGTCCAGAAATTTACCACACCTTGGGGGTCCAGTATACAAACAAGACCTTGAGGTCCAGAAATTTACCACATCCTGGTGGCCCAGTATACAAACAAGACCTTGAGGTCCAGAAATTTACCACACCTTGGGGGTCCAGACAAACAAGACCTTGAGGTCCAGAAATTTACCACACCTTGGGGGTCCAGACAAACAAGACCTTGGGTCTCAAGAAATTTACCATACCTTGGGGGTCCAGTGTACATACAAGACCTTGGGTATCAAGAACTTTACACATCTTGGGGTCCAGTGTACAAACAAGACCTTGAGGTCCAGAAATTTACCACATTCTGGGGGTCCAGTTTACAAACAAGACCTTGAGGTCCAGAAATTTACCACACCTTGGGGGTCCAGTACACATACACATCCTGGGGGTCCAGTATACATACAAGACCTTGGGTATCAAGAAATTTATACATCCTGGGGGTCCAGTATACAAACAAGACCTTGGGTATCAAGAAATTTACACATCCTGTGGGTTCAGTATACATACAAGACCTTGGGTATCAAGAAATTTACCACACCTTGGGGGTTCCAGGGAAGGGTTTCCAAATATTTGTACTCATTATACGCTATGGACAAAATTATTAACCAACAACTACATACCACCTTAAAGTGACATAAAATACAATATTAATTACATTCTTATAGAATCCCACGGTTTCATTCTCTCTACAGTGAGTAATGACTGGTAATAGAGTTTGTTCATACTTTGATATTGTATATAATATTATCATACCAAATATATCAATCCTTTCTACAAATCAGTACTTTTTTTAACAGTACTGTATGTTTAATCAATTCTTTAATCAGTAACAAAAAATATGAGTTCCTAGTAAGCTTTTTGATTATGGAGAAAATATATAAATATTAGAAAGCATGGATGTTTTCTTAGTAGGTATATAACCCAGAAAGCTGATAACTTTCCAGTACAAGGGAGGTAATTCCTATTGCAGAGAAGCCAGTTAGTACACAATTTAAATAAATAATGAAAGTATCATTCTGTAACTATATATACAAATGTTGTTCTCACACACTAGGCCTTCAAACGTGTACTCACACACATGGTTGCATAGATGTCATCTAATAACACGATGAAAAAGTCTGATCACTCTAGACCACTAAGGATTAAGTCCAAATACTAATTGTTCACAATACAGCTTTTTAACATGCACTGGATGTGAATATATAATTAATGCATTTAACAGGCTTACTGTTATAGAGCAGCCAACATCAACATTGTGACATTGCTGTGAGACATTGCTGTGACATTGCTATCTTTTTCATATTTTAAATGTTACTGTTGAGAGTCTAGTTTTTAAATGCAAAAAAAAAACACAATTTCATAAAGCAATGAACAGCAAAACCATGGTCAAATTTCTTTAGGTTGTCAGAAATTTGTGCTGACAAAATAATCATGAAAGGAAGAATAGTTACATATAGGTTTATACATTTTGATTTTAAACGACAGCTTCAGGTGCTGATTAAATGATGGGCTGATACACAATTAAAGATAAGAGCTTTCTACCACAGAAAAAAATTCTATTTTAAATTTTTGGTGAGAAATAAAGTGTTTATCATCATAATTTTGTTGATAATCGTGCAGATACCGAATATGTATTCTATATCACCATGTTCCACAACACCCCTTATAGTTATGCAGGTTGCCCACTCATGTCACCAGAACACTGATGTTTGACAGTGAGACAATACCCAGCAAAGGAGGAGCCACGTAGACAGAAAACCTGTGGAATAAATCGCCATGTTCTAATCCTCCACAATACCACATACAGGGTTTATCACATCATTTGGTCACATGTACACTCAATAAGACAACTGATGGTAGACTGATTTTTTTTCAAAACTTTGTAGAAGACAGATAAAACCTATCATGAAATAGGTCAGAGTATTCCCATTTATCCATCCCATTGTAAAACTGTAATTCATGAACCTTATATTAAGTAGCTTTGAAAGATTTACCAATAATATTTCATATCAAAGCCAATCTTATGTGTAACATGCACGTGGTCATTTCTGTTAACTGGCTCCTTTAACATAGCCATGATCACAAAACAGAAATCAAAGACAATATGACAGTAACCAGATGATCAAATATATAAAAAAAAACTTTTCTGATTCCATCAAGCATAAACAATTTGTTAAACAAAAATGTTGAATGGAATGGATGCACATATACAATGCTTTAAATAGCTAAGCATTAGAATTTACATAAAATCAATTACTCTATATATAAAAATTTTTAACAAGGATATAACTTCGATGTTCAGGAAAATTAAATCTGAGCCAAGGAAAGTAAACAAGTGTTCTCTACCACAATATGTACTGTAACTGGATCGATCATAACCAATTTAAACTATTTTAAAAAGCTAAGAAACAATTCATGAATATTTCTCATAATACTTATTGTATAAAGCATTTTGTTGCTTGTTTTGGGTGGTAATATATAAATTCTGCTGAGCTATTAACACATTTGCTCTCTGTGTCAAAACATTTCCCTCAACTCTAACTTGACCATGTGATGAATTTGTCATATTGCCACATTTGCAACATTGTTATTGTCACTTAACCAAGTTATACTCCTAGCATATTAACTGGTTAATGTCACACTTAACTAGGTTATACAATAGTTTGACACCATCATGTTATACTCCTAGTATATTAACTAGTTAATGTCACACATAACCAGGTTATAAACAAATTATATTTATACCAGTTTTTTTCCACATTTAACTTGGTTCATCTTAGTTTTTCTCACACAATGGTAGGCTATGCACCAGTTATATAACCTCATTACAATTGAACTTCATCAGTTCTCCTTATTTATTGTCAAAAATCAACTAGGTTTACTCATGAAGCACAGGCTATAAACACGTCACACATAACCAGGTTATACAAACATATCTGTCAAACCAAGGCAGACAGTACCACTAAAATATGGAATGATGACTTGTATCATTAAAAGTCAACGGTCACATCTAGTCTCACTAGACTCTAGAGTAAAACAATCCCTGTAAAAGACATCAGTAATGATGTTAAAACATGACAGGTGGACATAAACTCACCTTTAAGCACAATGCTAGTGTTGCAAAATTAAATGAATAAGATATAGCAAAGATTTCATCTCATAATTAACAGATTGAATGGATTAAGAGTTATCACCCCTTCCAAAACTAAACCACAAGCAATTGGGGACTTTCCACAAGAACTTGTCACCTCTTTTGAAACTGATGCAACATAAAATCTTAACCTGGTCACCTTCAAAAAACACCTTCTGTCATGTCCCAGTATCTCTGATAACAAAACCTCCCATCCACCCACTCCTACATGATACATACCATCTGATTCCTAATAACAGATATTGTTCAATTGTCAGTTAAAATGCATTTGTCAGCCGAGTACACATATAAATTCAAAATTTTTTATCACTACAGAAAATCTGTGAAAAACAAAAACATTCAAGATATTCATTTTATGAAAGAGATTAATGGTCCTAAGGCTACCGTTGTAAGTAATGACCAATTTCCATCAAATTACAAACCTAAAAATAGGACATATCACCGTTTTCTTGAAATTAACATCAATATTATGGCATATCAATCTTTTTCACAGCCGAAATCTTGTTTTCTGTATATTGAAAGGCAATGGTGTTCTGCCAACCGTAACAAGCAGTTTTACAGTGTCTGTGTTCTTTCTGCCATCTGTAACAATCATACTGTGTCTTTGTTATCTCCAGTAGAAGTCATACATCGGAAGTTCCTATCACAGTAAAACATATAAAATTGATGGTGATAAAGAACTGTCCATGTCTTCATATTGATACAATGTCAATCACCAGTCCTTGCCTACTAACTATTCAGTGACCAGTTGCATTCTTAGCAGCAACTATCAGGGGTTTAAGTGACAAAAGTGGCTTCGCCTTGTGGAGAAACTCGTCCTTCAGTAGTGTTGCAGTGTCTGCCCTTACATCCACAGACACCTCCAAAGTCATGTTGAGGAAATTCTGAAGTTCCATGGACAGTTTTTCAAAGTTTTTTATCTCGGGTTTTCCCTTGGCTGCAATATGGTAGATGGCTTTCAGTGGGGTCTCGTTCAGGTATGGAGGTTCACCTTCCAACATCTCGATTATCATAATTCCCATACTCCAAATGTCAACTTTTTTGTCGTAATGTTTTCTTAAAAGAGAAATATTCAAAATCAATGATCATTACACACACTCCACCGTATGTATACCAGCAAAACGCTTATCTTATACATAGACACATAATCTGAATAGAAATGATTTCTTCAAAAAGCATCTTCTTTCTTTATAGTTTTGTCCCTAGGTTTATACAGGATTTCTTCTGATGCAGTCAAAAAAGTACATCTGAATCCTCTTGCATTCATACCACCGTAAACGCAACAAAAATACTGTTCAATCTGAATAATGTATACAGTTCTTACCAATTGTTCATGTTATTGCATATACTCACATGAATACAAGTATAATGGAATTCAAAATCTGTATAGTGTTGCTATTTTAATGCCTAAATTTTTTACTAGTAATGTAAAAGGGAGATATTTTTTGTCGAAACTAAACTGGACTTTTTTTTACGTAACTTTAATTTTACAATATTTACATGTTGCCCATTAACAATAAATGAGGGTATAAAAAGCTTTCAGTATACAATACCTAAGACTCCTGTATAAGCAGATTGCTCAGAATATACAATACCCACAGTTTCAAAAAATAATGAGATATATTAATTGGATATCTAATTTTCTGCCAGTCTTGAAAATATCTTAAAGTAGAATCCATAAAAAATAACATCAACTAGATGATAAATAAAACAAACATTTTATCTTATTTAGTTTCATTGAGGAAAGATGAAAATATGTTTGTTACCTGGACACGACTTCTGGTGCCATCCAGTATGGTGTCCCAACCATAGTTTGGCGTTTGCAGTTGTCTCCACTTAACTGAGCACAGAAACCAAAGTCAGTTAGTTTGACAGCTCCGTTCATGCCTAGTAGTACATTGTCACTTTTAATGTCGCGGTGAATAATACTTCTAGAATGGAGAAAGTGTAAAGCCTGTAAACACTCGCGGGTCACCGCAGCAATCTGTCCCTCATTCATCACGGTTTCCGTGACAACATCTGTTAAAGCTCCTCCATCAAGATACTCCATCACTACCCATAATTCCTGTTTTACGTCCAAATAGTAACAGTCGAGGAAGTTGACAATGTTTTGATGTTTGTGCGTTTTCATTACTTCTATTTCTGTAATCAGAAGTTCTTTCTTGGGCTGGTTGTTGAGGTCCATTATTTTGATAGCTACAACTTTACCTGCCTCAGCTGGGTTCCGAGGACTAGCCATACATACTGTCCCTGAAGCCCTACAAGGTAACAAGATCAAATGATTACAATGCCAGCTAATGGTTTTCCTCATGTTATTACGACACTTTTATGATGCAATGTATGTCGATCAGGAAAGAAAACGTTTATTTCTGGATGTAGACTGTATGTACATTTATATATATGGATCTTTATCTGAACATTAAAATAAAAGATGATTCTAATATTATACACATTGCTTATGTTAATGCTTGATGCTGTCTTAACATAGTCTCAACTCAATACAGGATCATGATGTTTACCAGATTTCTACCTAATTTCACCATTGCTTCCTTCTCTTAACAAATGCGGCATAAAGCAGTAAATAAACACGTACCCAGAAACAATTTGATAACATATATAGTGCCAACTTTCATTAAAAAGAATAAATTTCTGTATTGAAGAGTTAGTCCACAGACAAAACATTCTGTCAGTAACCAACAGTTCATTGGTTTTTAAGCTATCAAATAATAAATTCAAAGTGAGCAGGGAACTGACTCTCTACCACCAATCTTGTAATCTAGGTTTTTATTTGCAAGGTGTCAAGGGTTACCTTTGATCTTTAACCTTTATCAAGGACTACTAAAATCTAACCAGGTGCAGACCTTGGAGTTGTGATGCTTTGTTGTGAATATAGACCAAGTCTGTTGGGTTGTTCATGAGATATCTTGTATACAAGGTTATTAAGGATGCAGACATGCACACACACACGTACACATACCCACCCACCAACACATGCACACACACACACAAACACACACACACACACACAAAGCAGTTACTATATACCCATCCTCCTCCATCTTCATGGGTGGTATAATCAAAAGATCACACTGAAATTAATTTTCAGAAATCATATGCATATAATCCTACCCTGCTCCAAGTTTCTTGTGGGTATCATATTTCTCTAAGGCATCTCCTGGTGTGGCCAGTTTTTCTGTAAAAGTAAAGAAAAATGAAAATATTGAGACTTAAAAGATCCACTTTGAGATAAGTTTCATAAAATATAATTCTATTTTTTGTTCATGTAACTCGACAAAATGTTATGTTTTGACAGACTGAAAGAAAACTTGCAAATGCGGAGGACATAATCGTTGGTGCCACTTCGTTGCTCCATTTCCAATTCATAACATAGTCATTATCCAAATTATGACAATATAATTGATTTCTAACTGGTGTAGCCGATGAAAAATGCTCATGTGTACGTTACACTAATATCATACACTACAATAAAACATGGTCTATATTATCAGTTGAATATGTGATAAAGGCATTAATTCATAACCTTAGGAATGTAGCCACGTTTTAAGGCGTAGTGGCTTAAACTGAAGAATGTGACCACAGTTTAAGGCATTGTGTCATTACCCTAGGAATGTGACCACAGTTTAAGGCATGATGGCATAACCTTAGAAATGTTGCCACAGTTCAAGGCATGGTGTCATAACCTTAGAAATGTGGCCACAGTTCAAGGCATAGTGTCATAACCTTAGAGATGTGGCCACACATAACCTTAGGAATGTGGCCACAGTTCAAGGCATGGTGTCATAACCTTAGAAATGTGGCAACAGTTCAAGACATGGTGTCATAACCTTAGAGATGTGGCCAAACATAACCTTAGGAATGTGGCAACAGTTTAAGACATGGTGTCATAACATTAACAATGAAGCTATAGTTTAAGGTATAGTGGCATCACCTTAGGAATGTTGCCACAGGTTAAGGCAAGGAGTCATAAACTTAGGAATGTACCCACAGTTTAAGGCATTGTGTTACAACCTTAGGAATGTGGCCACAGTTTAAAAAATGGTGTCATAACTTTAGGAATGTGGCTACAGTTCAAGGCATGGTGTCATAACATTTTGATATCAGCCACATGGAATAATACCCTCAGGAATGAAGTCATGACTTCAAGATTAATACTCATGAGAAGTTCCTTATCAACCAAAAACGTTGAAATTATTGACGCTATCAACTGAATCATAGTCAACAACACCGTGCAAAAGGTATAGTCAACGAGCGAAATTTCTTAAAACATGTTATAAACTGCCTGATTTCAGTATGTCAAAAGTTAAAGATATTATGTCAGAATTCATTTTATATTGACTTCTGTCTTCCATCTGGTCAAAACATCAGAGGAGCACATCCTTAAGGCATGGCAATCATAACTGCAGTTATGGTCTCACAAATTAACAAAAAATCAAATTTAAAAAAACCCAGAGATAATGACAAGTCTTAAGTACAATATTTTACCTAAGGCGGAGTTAATTTCTGTATCTGAGAGATTTTTCTTCTGTGTTTTGTGTCTGCGAACTGGTGCATCTTCTTCCTCTGGAGTTTCTTCGTTAACTTTGACCTTGGCACATGCTTCAATGACTCTGTCCACAGCGTCAACTTCATCATTCTGTAATATAAGAATACTCATGATTTTAGAAATTAGTTAAAAGTCATTTCAAACATAACACAACAGAACAATATGCCAACAAACTGTTCCAAAACAAATACTAATTTCTAAATCTCAAGATTTAGATTTGTCTTGCAATTTTAAATCCTTCCCTCTCACAAAGGTGATATTACATCTTAAAAATGTATTACAACAATAACATTCAAAAGTCATATCATAATTGGACAATAGAAACACATTTGAAAGTTTCAAGAACTTTTGTTTTTGTTTGACTTTGATAAATACCCTGAAATCTAAAAAACTGTGGCATATATTCTTTATAACTTATGATTCCATGACATAATTTCAACACTGTCTTCTTTTAAAAGTGGTTGACTGTTTTTGTTTGTTTTGTTTTTTTTTACAAACAAAACTGTCTTGAGTTGGTTGAATTATACCAAATCATCTTTATGCACCAAGATGTAAAAATGAAAGTAAAAAGTTAATGAAGCCATTCCACATAACAATATGAAATAGACATTTCTGTGAAAAAATTTGTCAGCATAGACATCTGCAGTATCATCTCAATCTGATTAACCAGTGTAAACTGTATATAGTTCAACATTTTAAATTTTGAACTGACCCTTGACAATTGCAAGTTATAAGTTGCTATAATTACAGTTACCTTGTCCTTTGAGGCTATTTGTGTGGGGGTGGCTTCTTTGAGGTCCTTGTTGTCAGGCACCTGGACGAAAACATCTGTCTGGGGGTCATCGCCGTTGTCGAGATGAGGCGTAGGGGGATCATCTGAATCGCGCTTGCTTGATCGCCGTGAAGAATCATCCTCACTATCTAGTTCATCATCAGATTCATCGATCGTTGTGGCTACTTTGAGATACTTTTGATGGTCAGTAGGTTTATGTTTGAAAGACTTTGTAAACAGTCGAAGTGAGTTGATGACTGCCTCTGGGTTCTCTTCCTGTTCCTCCGAACTGACAACAGTTTAACAATAAATATATAAACATCATAAAACAGATGTCATATTGTTCTTTAGCTTGAAAAAGTCTAGTAACAGGCATTGTCATTGGTGTTGTATTAAACACATGGTAGGGAAAATGAATAGTTCAATACAGATAAAAGTTGGATTAAAGATATCTAACATTGTCTACTCATTTAAGCTATGTGTTATCAGAAGCAAATCTGGTGGAATCGATCAGCAACGGTGCAAAAATAAAACCACATGAGGAATGAATTTTATTAAACTTATGAAAACTTGAAATCATATAAAACACCAAACCAATCGATTATCAATGATAATTTTTTTTAAACTTTATCAATGATAACTGTTTTTTTAAATTCAGTACGAAAATGCACTTTTATAGAAAATAAATGTACATGGTATGGAGGACAGTATTGTCAGATGTATCATCCACCATTATTTTTATCTGTATATATATGTGGCCATATTTCCATGCATTTTTATACTGAAAACTATGGTAGGAATGGATTTTATATATCATATTATATAAAGATTTTTTTAAAATATTATAGGTACAGGTTTTATAAAATCAAACTATGGTATGTGTAGATGCAAGAAATACATCACTTACAGAAATTTACAGAAATACAACATTTATATGTAAAAAGACCTCCCAATGCCCTGATTTATGGTATTAACATGTACATACAGTATAAAATAGAGACTGATCATGATAACATTGTGGAGGCAATGATCTGTCTGGAGGTCTTTTTTGTATATACTTGTAAATAATTCATACATATTTGTGTTGATAATTTTGTGCACTACCTACTTTTATCATTAACAACATTTCAATAATTGTTTCTTTCAACTGTTGTGATGAAAAATGAAATTTATTTTTCCTACAAAACTTACGAGATGTTTGAATGTTGCAATAACGCCGTCCAATGAGGTGGTAGGCCTTGAAATGTTCCTGTAGTTTTATCAAAACCAACATGAAAGTTGTGCTTCACCATGGTTGGTGCAGAAATATGCATCACCGGTGCCTCTGCCGAGGTCGACTTCTTTGTCTTTTTGCCAAACGGCATTTTGTCTAATAATATGCGCCCTACAATGAGAAATAAATCAATGAAATTCAGGCTATTTTTAACATTCATGGTTCATTTCAGATCATTTTACTTTGTAAATCTTTTAAGTACAAATTGATATATGGACAACAAGCAAAGCTATCAACACTAAATATAGTCCTTCTGTAATATACCTATTAGTAGACATAATTACATATACAACATATGTTACAATAATACTTCGATCAAACATCAACTTTCCAGTTTAACAGGCCTTCATTAGGTTCATGATATTAGACAAGTTGTGATTGTACTTATCATGATAATTTTAAGTGATTTTCACCATAGTTGTCTTTCATTGTCACATATATACATTATTCATGTAGATCCAAGAGTCTAGATTACCCTTATATTTAATTAATACAATTGTGTTCAGGGCTACAAATCCAATAATACACCATACCATACAGTTTGTTATTAACACAAATTGTTATTAACACAAATTGTCATAAACTGACACATACAGCCAACATCTGTGAAACATACGCCAGTAATAAATTTTATCACCTGTAAATAACCTTGTTCATGTATTACATGGCCAGTGAAAGACATATCACCATATACATATTACTACTTTACAATAAAAACTCTGACAAATCATTTTTTCCCCTAATTACGTACCAATGTATACATTAAAAGATATTTTCCCTAATTACATACCAGGGTATATGTCAAAAGATATTTTCTCTAATTACATACCAGGGTATACATCAAAAGATATTTTCCCTAATTACATACCAGGGTATACATCAAAAGATATTTTCCCTAATTACATACCAGGGTATACATTAAAAGATATTTTCCCTAATTACATACCAGGGTATATGTCAAAAGATATTTTCCCTAATTACATACCAGGGTATATGTCAAAAGATATTTTCTCTAATTACATACCAGGGTATATGTCAAAAGATATTTTCTCTAATTACATACCAGGGTATACATCAAAAGATATTTTCCCTAATTACATACCAGGGTATACATCAAAAGATATTTTCCCTAATTACATACCAGGGTATACATTAAAAGATATTTTCCCTAATTACATACCAGGGTATATGTCAAAAGATATTTTCCCTAATTACATACCAGGGTATATGTCAAAAGATATTTTCTCTAATTACATACCAGGGTATACATCAAAAGATATTTTCCCTAATTACATACCAGGGTATACATCAAAAGATATTTTCCCTAATTACATACCAGGGTATACATCAAAAGATATTTTCCCTAATTACATACCAGGGTTTACATTAAATGATATTTTATTAATCAGCTTTCTTCAATTTCACAGCAGCCACTGATATCTTACAGCTAAAATATTGGAGAGTAGTACACATACTATCAACTGCCACCAGACCAGGACATGGACAACAATGTGACGAGTATATGATATATAAAATATTCGTTATTACCCCCAGTAATAATGACTACAGATCTCTGAATTGTACTAGTTGTATATAGTACACATGTTCAATAATCATTAACAGATTCTAAAAATGAATACATATGTGTACAATAAACATATGTATATACACTTCTCATACAAAAAGAAAATATACAGTAAATAGTTTGATAATATATATAAATACACAAGTAGAAAATAATAATATTTTAAGTGAAAATACGATACCAGGTAAACAGCATATACTGATGCATCTCAATTTTCATTTGCAGCTGTGTTCCCCTACTAGAGTAAGCTCAAAACCAAGACATTTAAATACTTTGCATATTTTTATTTTTTATACAATACTTAAGTTAGTTCCACCATCTGAATCCTTCAACAAATACTTGTATAAATTACATATCATCGGAACATCTTTTATTTCTACATATTAGGGGTACATTATATCAAGGATTAGGTGATGAAGCATACAATAATATTCCAAATATAGGTACACGTGGCTTTCATTCTGCCACACCCAACACCTATGAAAGAGATGTATATTTAGAGAGTGGGCGAGGTTAAGGTGTCATCACTATAATCATGTATGTATATATGTAACTGGATGGTATACAATGTATGTAATTTATGTATCTACTGATACGTCATGGTACATTAAGATTGCATAGGTAACAAAGACAATGCTCGTGATATGTTGCATGATAGCAGAAAGACTTCCTCAATTATAAAAATGAAATCCTTCATATTTTACACAGACAGATCACATACTCTCCAAAAAAACTCATTACTTTATAAACCAGTTGACTAGTGTAAAGGATAGAATTATAGTAAAATGAGTTTGAACACAGTCAACACACACAACACAGATACATGTACAATCTTACAATGAATCATGTTTAATAAACACTTCCTTGTGTATATTACTAAATATGGCAATTTCCAGAGAAAACTAGGACATAGTTTTAATTATGTACACCTTGGATGATAAATATTTAAAACATTCACAAACATAAATACCAAACAAAAATACAGGCACATGATACATACTCCTTTAGTCCTGTTCTGATGGAATTATATACAGGACAATGAACAGCTAGGTTTGCAAAATAGGTCACGTTGACCTACATACATTTACACTCTACTATTGAAGATGTATATATTTAAACTACACATACATATAAGAACCTAAATGAAGTTCAGGACTTAAATGTGACCTATTTCTTCATTAATTGTAGACTTTATACTCACCAACATTTGGACTTTTACACATATATGTACATGTATATACAGAAGATACATGAAGAAGATGGATTTGTTTTTCTTCCTTTTTTTTCTCTTGCCAGGTGATCATGAATTTATTATCCTTGATAACACATTTATGGTAAATATATAATTATTCAACAGAGAATCTGATACGTCATATGAAATTTGAAAAAAAAAAAAAAACCTCAAGTACATTTTGGGAATTAAATGTAGCAATTATAATATTCAATTATGACTGTCTGTCACAAGCCTGTTAATTTGAAAAAGAGTTAAAAAAAATCCTTTCATGTCAGAATATGAACTTTAACAACGAGATCTGGGATTATCGCCCACCTGTGGGTGATTTTAGTTTTTCTGGTAGGACACAATTGAAATTCATCAGCTGGGAACAAACAGTATGAGAAAGATGCACACATAAATAAAAACCTGCTAGTATTCATTTCCTCTGTATCACAGATACACTGATGTTACATAGTACTATATACAGGTAGACATCTGGGGCTAACATTACACCTAACAAGCCTTTTAAACCTTCTTATCTCATTCTTACTTCCTGTTCACTAACAACAACCCCTATCACTTCCTGGATTGATAATGTGTACAGAAGTGAATAACAAAATGAAGCTAAAGTAATGGAAAAAATACTTTAAATAAGATTTTACAAAATGAAACAGAAACTGAAACATAAAAACATGGATAAGAAATATTGGTAATGTCAACAGAATCTTAAATTCAAAAAAATACAAAAAATCTAAAACTTTAAAAAAAAGTTTACAAAGAAAATCAATGACACCCATGTGCATGTGCAGCATATCAATCTGGGTCAATCCAAGCAACAAGTAATGTGACATTCCTCAATAAGAATGACGTAAACACCAACAGAATCACCAGACATACCAACAAGCATCAACTGCACAAGGAAATAGAATAATTTCCACTAAAGCTGTCACCTAGGGGCTCACTTATACCCGACATTCAGACTGCAATATATAGACTTCACTGTAGAGGCTATGAAAATGAATAAGTATATAAGAAGTATTTAGGGGTATAACGTAAGGGGTAAAAAGGACCAACAAACTTGTGTCAGCAAATTAAATATGAAAAGAAAAAAGTTGTATACACATCTGCATTTGGTCCGTTATATTGATATGAGGTTTCTTTGGAATCTGTTCACTGATTTAGGATAAATTTTGCAGACAATATTGCAGACGACAGACATCAAAACAAGATTATTCAAGTATCCCCTCCCTCACAACTTTGTTGGAGGGGTTATAGGTAATAAGATCCTTGTGGTGACTGCAAAACATCCTCATTATCATAAATCCTCATCAACCGGCATTTCTCTAATACCCTTTATTGTGAGTCTGTCTGTAAGCTGTCAACATCTTGCTATTGGAAGCATTTTCCCTTGAATATCGAATCAACTGCTGCATATGAACACCATTGATTGGGGATGCCAGAATGCTGCTATCCAGACATGGAAAATTCACAATTATATTATGGAAATCCAAAACATCATGTTTCCAAAGTTTCAAAGAATATCAAAATGACCCATGGTCATGTATGAAGCCATGGTTAGTTCTATAGCTAGTTTCTAATTTATAATGATATAAATATATTGACACTAAAGGAAATCGAAGATCACTCATGGTCTAGATCATTTATAACTAGGGTAAAGATAAGGATGACATCATATTGGTCATCACTCATTTTGCATGTAGGTCATTGGATAATATTGAATTAACAGTCAAATGTACCTGATAGTGATGTACTGCATATATAATCACAGTTAAGTGGCTGTATACACTAGATAAATATGAACCAAACAGGAAGTAAATATAGATACAAATCTGATATATCAATGATTTTTTTCTTTTCTTATTTTAAACATAACACCAGCTGATTACATACACATTGTTCAGTATAATTTCTTTTATATCTAATGCATATTTACAGTGTTTATAAGTAAACATTACATAATACACTAACAAGTAAAGGTACAGAATTGTATTATCACTGATAATGAATATTTGACTTTGGTGTTAAATACATTTGTCATTTTAGGGGTGTTCACCTGCTCATGACCAGGTGAGTTTTCTGCAGGTTCTCTGGTAATATTTCTACCGGGCCAACAAGAGTTTAAATGACTTGTTTCTCAAACATAGAAAATCAAAATAATCGTAATTCTATAAAAAATGAATTTTTGTTTTTTTTTTTTCATATTTATACATAATTGCATAACAGCGAACCTAAAATGACATCATATATGAGATAATTAACGTTAAATCCTATCTGTAAATATGATAAGATTATGTAGACAGTAAATCACCCCTGACGTGATTACATGCAGATGTATAGTTTTGTAAGAAAATTTTGATTTTGTCAGATAGGAATAAGTGAGCTGACAACTATTCAATAATCTGGTTGTAAAGTCATGCACAACACTGCATCCTAAAACAGTCATGCAAATATAACTGATTAACACAACTGACCTCTGAGTTCCATCATCATTCTCTACTGATAATATTTGGCCGCTGAATCTGTATCAGATTTAGTGTGAAGGCAAGTTAGATAAGAAGGGAATGTTTGAATAAAAACTGGTACAAAGTAAAACTTAATGAAATTTCAGGCACTAATGAATCAAAGAGTTACTCCTCTATATTTATTTCAAATAGTAAAAACCAATTTTTATAAAACAAAATTATTTACGTAGTGGGTAATGATCAGTCCTAATTATGATCTTTTTTTGATTTACCTACCCATTCCTGATTTTGTTCAAGGTATAGCAAATTAACTCTACAAATCATATAATTACTTAATACATGTTCACATCATCATTCATCACTAAAGACCTGTTGTATATCATTTTTACTGTATTTATTTTCACCTGTAGATATTATTTTCACCTGTAACAGTATATATACTGTTGTGTATTATTTTTACCTGTGACAGATTGTTATGTATTATTTTTACCTGTGACAGACTGTTGTGTATTATTTTTACCTGTGACAGACTGTTGTGTATTATTTTTACCTGTGACAGACTGTTGTATTATATTTTTACATGTTGCAGACTGTTATATATATATATATATTACCTGGCTGTGACAGTTAAGACTTGATTGTTTAAGATGTTGATCTGTGGTTAGACTGTTATATAACATCTCATTATCAATTTGAAATATTTCTTTCCTAAAACATTTTTACCTATATTACTTATGTATCAGTTGCAGCTCTGTTCTATGCCAACATCTTATTTTACTTTACCTATATTATATTGTGACAGTTCTGTTCTGTATCAGAGACAGATATATTTCTGGTTTTATGACATTCTCACACTCTATTGGGAAATATATATTCATTTACTATGCCACTACAAAGAGACTCTTGACTGTTCACAAGGTGAAAGACTTAGCAAACAATATCCTATAATATTTTACTAAAACATACATAATCTTAGACACACTGAATTAAAGCCTTTTAAGAATTCCAGTGAATTTGTTTTATCTATTTAGGCATTTGAAAGCATAAGCAGAGGGTATGTAACTAAGTCAAATGAACCACTATATATGTATGCAGCAATTGTGGTCTTCCATGAACAATCAGTGGTACTACAGTTAAAAATTTCCAAAAAATCAGATTCAGCATTGTCACTTAAAATTCAGAAAAGGACCCTTATAGCTTTACAGACTATATTCATACATGTGTGTATGTAACTGTATATGTGTATGTTGTATGTGTCATCAGTAAAACTTTACCACTCGAATGTCCTGTTATTCAATGAATATACCATACAAATTTACATATTTTAATGATACACAAAAGGATACCTTTTTTGACATTAAGTTTAGGTTAAGAAATGACATCACACAGTGTGATTCACACTTGTGGATTGCATTGCGATAGACATCAAAGCCAAAATGATTTCAAGTTTGATATGTAATATCTGTTTTCTTCAATATTTGCATGAGTAATCCAAAGGTACTTCTGGAAATGAATGCAATGGTACATTAGAGGAGAATAAACTGTTTTACAACAACATGACATAACTTTCTATTTTAGAGTAACAAGGTTTGTTAAAATTAGAAATATCTACTTTCTTAGACTCTTCCCACACATCACATAATGAAACACATGTAAGGTCCTACATGTATGTATTGTGCATGAACATATATTTAGCTAACATAGGTCTTGTCTGTCCAATCAACACAAATCTTCATGGTCAAATTAAACATTATTAAAGCATAATATTACATTGATTTGATTTCAATATTACGAATGCTGATTAACAGAATCAAATGTTCAATGCAGTATGCCAATGATTTTTGGGACTCGATAACCGAGGCCTTGATTCATGCTCTTCCTGTGAGATTCACTCAAATTTTAAAAAGTTTCATCAAAATTTTGGAACTAGTGGTTATGGACTCATCTGGAAAAAAAATATCCTACAAAAATTACTGACACAATGAAAATTTTCTGTGAAGATACGCAGAAAAATCTTGGTCCAAGTGAGACTAATTAGGGTCTGGTCAAATATGGCAAAACACTCACTGGAATAGAAGCGACTAGAGAGTGCAAAAATTTGAAGCTGACATTACATCACTGTACATGCATGTGGCTATGCTGATTTGATCCTGTTATTAAGATGTGATTAAAATGTGGTCATATGTATGATCCTTAAGTGCATGTGAGCTCTAATTTACTAATTGTTTTTAAATACAAAAACAACGTATTAATCCAATATCAAATAAATTTATAATTCAATGATATGATACTGAAAAGAGAATATTATTTGTGACATCTGTATTTGCATGTGTATAACAATTCAGAGAATTACTCATTGACTTCACACATCACAAAGTTGGTAAAATTTCAATATATGTGATGTCTCACTCCATTAAAATTACTTTAATTTTCATTCTAATACAATTCAAAACACCTAAAGCTTATAGCCAAATTATTTGTAACTGTTATCTATTTCTTATCAATCATTTCAGTATTTAACATGTCCTTCAACAAATTCTTATTTATGAGGCAGATGTAACCAATTACCATAATCATACTATTTTCAGAACTATCCATATATAGCTAGTTACATCTGGCGATGCGTTGAAAATTTCATTAACGAATGTTGAATTAGTTCTGCAGACTTAACAAATGATATATCACGAGAGCATTGCGTCCTTACATGCTATTTAACCTTTAACATAAAACTGACTATGATGAAATGTACACGAAATGTGTTTGACCATCACTGCTGTCGGCCTTGTTCAACAGGTGGCCATGCATAGCTGTCCACGTAATATCTATATTGGGAGATACACATAGAAAGTAAGTGGTAAATAAATGATTATTTCTCAATCAACACAGCTGCAGATGCTGTACGCATATTTAATTACAAAAACTCTTTATCAAGACGATAAACTCTTACAATCATGAGTGCATAAACCAACGAGTCAGTAATTAACCCGACGTAAGGACATTGCAGTGTCATCGACGTCGTAAGGCCGATGACAAGAAAGCTATACAGTCGAAGTTCAAGAAGTTTTTTTTAAAAGGATTTTTGTTTACGTATAAAAGAATGGATAAATTACCTAACGAGTCTTTGTGTCGTAGTCCTGCTGCTGTAGAAGAGACAGGAACAGACGGCAAACAAACTTTTTGGGGGCTTCTTCTTCCACTTTTCCTGTGCCAATCCGGAAATAAATAACAGGAATTCCCAAGATGCATCTGTTGCAGAAGGGAGACAACCCTTACTTCCTGGTCTCTAAATTTAAAAATAAAATAAAACACGCGCTTCAACACAGGAGTAAACTGCCTTTTACGAAATAACATTCAACCAGATGAAACAGTTTCTTTTTAAGTAAATAATAATGTATAAAAATATGGCACACGATTATCTTCGTAAAGCTTTGAATAAAGAAAGAAAAGCGTAACAAAAATACAATAAAAAGAAAATGTCTTCAAATAAGAACAGATGTAGATGATTTTGTATTTTTTTTAAGCAAACCTTTGAAATCCTAACACATAATATGACAAATGTATTAGTCAGAACGTTTTACCTTATAAGTGACTCCCCCGTATAAATACATAACATACAATTGATGTTACATAATAGAAATTGACATTAACTAACGACCAATATGATGGAACATTTCACATTGAAAACAGTGGTTTAGAGATCAGAGAGAGAGAGAGAGAGAGAGAGAGAGAGAGAGAGAGAGAGAGAGAGAGAGAGAGAGAGAGAGAGAGAGAGAGAGAGGGGGGTAGGAGAGAGAGGGAGAGTAGGAGAGAGAGAGGGGGTAGGAGAGAGACAGATAGAGACTCAGAGAGATATATATAGAGAGAGATGGAGAGTTTAATAAGTTTAAGGCTGCAATATATGTTGTTGCTTTACTCCCATTTTAGTGTAAAACTCGCGACATACCGATGACATTTACAATAAATCAGCGTTATCCGATCTCCAGTTAACGTGTTTTAGCTCCCATTATGTACTCTAAATCCATCGTAGTTACCTCATTCATTTATTAATAGTAAAAGGCGTAAACTGTCCCGCATGAATTCACAAAGTGTCATGACGGGTTTTGTAGGCCGCTATCGTTACTCGTATTTCAGAGTTTGATGACAACAGAGACCCACTAAGAGGGAATACGTTTCTACTAGTGTACTTATTTAATCTATTATCATTTTTTGTATCTTTTTTCCTTTTGTTTTCGCTTTGTATTTTTCATTTGAAACAGTCACATACATATTTTAATCGTTCAGTTGTTTATCTATTTTCCACGGAAAGAAAATAACAAAGTGAAATATTGAATAACATTTGAGTCAGAGTAATCTCCCTTCTCACTATCACTTCTCACAGTTACCGTTCCCACACCAAAAACGGATTTTTTTATTCTCACATGCCACAGATTACGAAACGTGTTTTGTCAAAGGTGATGCCACTCTCTATTAGAAAGTAAAAAACCCTCTCAAACTGAACCATTCATTACCGAAAAATACAAATATCTGCACTGATATGTTGACATATTTTACTTGACTTTGGAACACCTTCTCTCAATAATTATCACATGCCTTGAGTTTCTTTTCTCTTCCTCCCATTCCCCCTAAATATTTAATCTTTTTCTTCGTCTTGCAGATCTCCATTGTATCAAAAATACATTTTCATCATAAATTTAGAATAGATACACATCTGCCCAACCTATCGGTCTCAAACTTACTACCAAATCTAGTGAGTTTAAATATTATATATATATATATAAACTCGTGACTGACATTTTCTCTAAAAGCCAATAATTTACTTGTAAATGTGATTTCTATTGAAGACAAACAAAAGACATTTCCAGCAGGAAAGTACCGTGAAGAATTTTCGTCAATATCTTGTCCATTACAAAACACCGCGAACAGTTTTAATATTAAATTCTCTGTACATGATATATAAATTTTCCTTTATCAATCATTAGTCCGCACACATACTGACTTTACAGGCACTCCCTAGTTTCAATATTACAAGAAAAAAACGTTAAAAAATACAAAATACAAAGTATAAACTTGTCCGTAACCTGAAAAATCATCCGTATCAGGACGGACTTTATAGCACTTGTATGTATCTATGCTCTCGTGCAAGAAGAAATACAGAAATTGACCCATAGTAATTATTATGAAGAAGTCACGTGGAACTATGGAGGGATATTTCAGGCTGATATGGTAATAGAGAGAAAATCTATAAATAGCTTATTAACGGATATTCACTGTAACCGTTACACTTTACTACGGACTGCACCAGGAAATAATAACTGCCAAAGATTTACTGTTTCGGAAAGATAAACGGATCAAAGACAAACATCAAGGCGTATGCAAACCGATTTTTGTTTATGTTTTTTTTTATATCAAGATGTCATAATTAGAATGTGGTATGGAGGTATATATAGATATCTTGTTCTAGAAAATTGTCATGAAATATGATCTAAGGTGATATGTTACACTGGTGACTTTCTACAAACAACCCTTTTTTTTACTGAAGATCAAACTATTTACGCCTTTGTACCTATATCATGGAATAGTTAATGATACATACACGGAATAGTTTACTATATATATATATATATATATATATATATATATATATAACAATGAATCGTTTACTATATATATATATATACCATGGACTCGTTTGTGTATACACGTACGACTGATCTGTCACTATCTACGGATATATATATATATATCATGGAATAGTTTATGATACATACACGGACTAGTTTACTATACAGATGTACCAATGACTCGTTTACTGTATATATACCATGGTCTCGTTTACTATATACCATAGTCTCGTTAACTATATACAAACGAATCGTTTACTATATAACATGGTCTCGTTTACTATATAACATGGAATCGTTTACTATATACCATGGTCTCGTTTACTATATACCATGGTCTCGTTTACTATATACCATGGTTTCGTTTACTATATACCATGGTTTCGTTTACTATATACCATGGTTTCGTTTACTATATACCATGGTCTCGTTTACTATACCATGGTTTCGTTCACTATATACCATGATTTCGTTTACTATATACCATGGTTTCATATACCATGAAATCGTTTACTATATACAGCCGAATTGCAAAAATATATTCACCGCCTTATTTTATTGAAAGACATTAGTCATCCTAGGTAAAAAAATAATGGAGGCTGAAATGTGTTTACAAGTGTCGTATGGGTTATAACTTCACCAATCAAAACGTGTTATATAGTTTCAAATACCACAATACAATCAAACAACTTCTGAACCAAGAAAATATGAAATCATGTATTAAATTTCGATATCATTAACCAGCAATCTACTATTTGACAATATATAAGCACAAGGGTTATATTATATCTTGTACGACTGAACAATGTGATAAAAACATGTGGAGTATTTTCATGTTAAGAAGAAATGTAGAATTTTTTCTTCGTTGTGTACCCGCAATCGTTTTCCAGCGGTTTAGGAAAAAAAACATTTATCTCGGAAGTTTCATGCTTTTTGACGCCACCTTGACCTGAAAGCATGTGTAGTAGGTGAATACTTTCATGTTCCTGTTTTATTTGCCAAGTTATTCCCGTGTGTACAATACAATAAAATGTTAATGGACACGTTCTGCATTTGAATTGATTATTCTGTTTCAAACAGAATGAAGGTACTAGATCAAGCACGAATTCAGAGTCATCCTAAGAGGTGCTGGTCGGACGTGGAACTATCTGTAGTGTGTATTTGAAGGCCTTCAGAGGACAGGGAAGTCAAGAGTGACGTAAACATATAGGAAACATTTGTTTGTAAGATAGACAACTACATTGAGAATACATGGTCAGTGTCTCCAAAATTAGATGTATTTCGGCGAGGGTGAGAAAAGACACAAGGGGCGAGCCCTTGCAGTACCCTTTTGGTTTTTAGTCCCAAGCCAATGTACAGCTTACTTTTAAAGACATTGAACATATATTCTATTTATCCTCAAATACCCTTTGGCATTTCAAACGCACGTCAAAATAATTGCTCCACTCCGTGATGTAGTTCTATAGTCTAAACAATTTTCCGAATTTTCGAATATAAATGTGTTAAAATACATCTGTTTTCCGTCACTGCTGAATACAATAAAAATATATGTTGTAGGCTTTATCTAGCAATGGCAGCACAAGTAATGCAAGTAATACAAGTAATAGAAAAATTGAAGTATCTAAGCAGAGAGAGAGAGAGAGAGAGAGAGAGAGAGAGAGAGAGAGAGAGAGAGAGAGAGAGAGAGAGAGAGAGAGAGAGAGAGAGAGAGAGAGAGAGAGAGAGAGAGAGAGAGACAGACAGACAGACAGACAGACAGAGAGACAGAGAGAGAGACAGAGAGACAGAGACAGAGAGACAGAGACAGAGAGAGGGAGAGAGAGAGAAAGACAGAGAGACAGACAGAGACAGAGACAGAGAGACAGAGAGAGAGAGAGAGAGAGAGAAACAGAGAGAGAGAGAGAGGGAGAGAGAGAGAGAGAGAGAGCCCGCAGTTAGCGACAGGTAAAGTTAGCCATGGGAATGTGAGACGAGAATTTCGAAAAATGGATGTCAGGAGTTACGTACTACTAAAATATGCCTCAACTGAACAGAAGCGTTTGTTGTAGGCACATAGACATTAAAAGTGTAATCATGTTGGGAAAATGATACTCTTACCGTAGGATTTAAGTGTGGAAGAGTTGGGAAAAAGTTACCAAAGGACAACATGCGAGTGTATGGCTTTTCTGCTAAGAAAAAAAAAAAATGCGTTTCAGCATCATTTAGCACTATCACATAGTTCGCCCATCTCTCGTGCCTTCGTGCAGGATAAGGATACAGGTACTTGCATGACCTGGAAACAGCTATGATTTTATTACCACTGAGAATGAGTCTATTAATATCAAAACGAAACAAAAGACACGCCCAAAAAGGAAATTCGGAAAATTGTTTACAAAAACAAAAAAAAAATGGTACATTGTATTTGATTCCACAGCCACATTTGAAAAAAGCTGGCGCATTCTATACCAAACGAGTTGAAGCTGTGATAAAAACCGAAGTATTAGCTTTGTTTGATACCTACTTTAAAGAAAAAAATACATCATTCCAGATAACTGTGTTGATGTTCGGGTCTTTACTTTTAACAATGGATAAAAATAGATTTACAAAATTAGGGGTGAACAGAGTTTGGGTCCAGATAATGTAAATGTCCTATAGAAACCATCCTCACCCAGATTTCTTTCAAATTTTGCATGTTTGTAGTACCATAAATGTCAATGCAAGGTATACACTTCATTTTTTATCTTTCATATTAAAATCGGACCACATGCTCAATGAACTGACCATATTTCATAACAAGCGTCAATTACGTATTTTGGTGTCACCTTTTTCATACACTCTTACCTTCTTATCCTCTTGAAACATTATTTTTTATCAGATATGTCTTGGCATATATGTATATCTATAAATATAGTTTAAAGGCTAAAACAGAGGAGTGATAACATTATCAAAACAAGAACATCGTCAAAAAATTAAAGAAAAGAAAAACTATGAATGAAAAATTTTGGCCATTATATACTTAAAAATCAGCTTCAAGATGTGAAAATTTGAAAAGAATTGAAGAGCAGGAATATAGTTTTAAACATTCACCGTGGAATTGTTAACTATACGTTTACTGAGAAATCGTTTACTATACATTTACCGAGGAATCGTTTACTATATATTTACCGAGGAATCGTTTGCTATAAATTTACCGAGGAATCGTTTGCTATAAATTTTCCGAGGAATCGTTTACTATACATTTACCGAGGAATCGTTTACTACACATTTACCGAGGAATCGTTTACTATGCATTTACCGAGGAATCGTTTACTATAAATTTACCGAGGAATCGTTTACTATACATTTACCGAGGAATCGTTTACTATACATTTACCGAGATATCGTTTACTATACATTTACCAAGGAATCGTTTACTACACATTTACCGAGGAATCGTTTACTGTACATTTACCGAGGAATAGTTTACTATACATATACCGGGGAATCGTTTACTATACATTTACCGAGGAATCGTTTACTATACATTTACCGAGGAATCGTTTACTATACATTTACCGAGGTATCGTTTACATTTACCGAGGAATCGTCCACTATACATTTACCGAGGAATTGTTTACTGTACATTTACCGAGGAATCGTTTACTATATATTTACTGAGGAATCGTTTACTATGCATTTACCGAGGAATCGTTTACTACACATTTACCGAGGAATCGTTATATTTAACGAGGAATCGTTTACTGTACATTTACCGAGGAATCGTTTACTATATATTTACTGAGGAATCTTTTACTATACATTTACCGAGGAATTGTTTACTACACATTTACCGAGGAATCGTTATATTTAACGAGGAATTGTTTACTATACATTTACCGTGGGATCGTTTGCTATACATTTACCGAGGAATCGTTTACTATACATTTACCGAGGAATCGTTTACTGTACATTTACCGAGGAATCGTTTACATTTACCGAGGAATCGTTTACTATACATATACCGAGGAATCGTTTACTATACATTTACCGTGGAATCGTTTACTATACATATACCGAGGAATCGTTTACTGTACATTTACCGAGGAATCGTTTACTATACATTTACCGTGGGATCGTTTACTATACATTTACCGAGGAATATTTTACTATACATTTACCGAGGAATCGTTTACTGTACATTTACCGAGGAATCGTTTACTATACATTTACCGAGGAATCGTTTACTATACATTTACCGAGGAATCGTTTACTATACATTTACCGAGGAATCGTTTACTATACATTTACCGAGGAATCGTTTACTATACATATACCGAGGAATCGTTTACTATACATTTACCGAGGAATCGTTTACTATACATTTACCGAGGAATCGTTTACTATAAATATACCGAGGAATATTTTACTATGCATTTACCGAGGAATCGTTTACTATACATTTACCGAGGAATCGTTTACTATACATTTACCGAGGAATCGTTTACTATACATTTACCGAGGAATCGTTTACTATGCATTTACCGAGGAATCGTTTATTATACATTTACCGAGGAATCGTTTACTATACATTTACCGAGGAATCGTTTACTACACATTTACCGAGGAATCGTTTACTATACATATACCGAGGAATTGTTTACTATACATTTACCGAGGAATCGTTTACTATACATTTACCGAGGAATCGTTTACTATACATTTACCGAGGAATCGTTTACTATACATTTACCGAGGAATCGTTTACTATACATATACCGAGGAATCGTTTACTATACATATACCGAGGAATTGTTTACTATACATATACCGAGGAATCGTTTACTGTACATATACCGAGGAATTGTTTACTATACATATACCGAGGAATTGTTTACTATACATATACCGAGGAATTGTTTACTGTACATTTACCGAGGATTCGTTTACTATACATTTACCGAGGAATTGTTTACTATACATATACCGAGGAATCGTTTACTGTACATTTACCGAGGAATCGTTTACTATAAATTTTCCGAGGAATCGTTTACTATATATTTACCGAGGAATCGTTTACTGTACATTTAACGAGGAATCGTTTACTATACATATACCGAGGAATTGTTTACTATACATATACCGAGGAATCGTTTACTATACATTTACCGAGGAATCGTTTACTATACATTTACCGAGGAATCGTTTACTATACATATACCGAGGAATCGTTTACTATACATTTACCGAGGAATCGTTATATTTAACGAGGAATCGTTTACTATACATTTACCGAGGAATTGTTTACTGTACATTTACCGAGGAATCGTTTACTATACATATACCGAGGAATTGTTTACTGTACATTTACCGAGGAATCGTTTACTATACATTTACCGAGGAATCGTTATATTTAACGAGGAATCGTTTACTATACATTTACCGAGGAATCGTTTACTATACATATACCGAGGAATCGTTTACTATACATTTACCGAGGAATCGTTTACTGTACATTTACCGAGGAATTGTTTACTGTACATTTACCGAGGAATCGTTTACTGTACATTTACCGAGGAATCGTTTACTATACATTTACCGTGGGATCGTTTACTATACATTTACCGTGGGATCGTTTACTATACATTTACCGAGGAATCGTTTACTGTACATTTACCGTGGGATCGTTTACTATACATTTACCGAGGAATCGTTTACTGTACATTTACCGAGGAATAGTTTACTGTACATTTACCGAGGAATCGTTTACTATACATTTACCGAGGAATCGTTTACTGTACATTTACCGTGGGATCGTTTACTATACATTTACCGAGGAATCGTTTACTATACATTTACCGAGGAATCGTTTACTATACATTTACCGAGGAATCGTTTACTATACATTTACCGAGGAATCGTTTACTATACATTTACCGAGGAATCGTTTACTATACATTTACCGAGGAATCGTTTACTATGCATTTACCGAGGAATTGTTTACTATACATTTACCGAGGAATCGTTTACTATGCATTTACCGAGATATCGTTTAGTGTATCTAAATGATACAGATTGATTCACGTCTTTCGATTTGAAGGTTGTTGTTTTAAAAGAAATCATGAATTTTGTCTAATGAAATTTAGTATTTTTTCTGATGAAAGGCTGTACCAACTCTGTTGTTTGAGGAGGAAAACCCTAAGGATATATATCCACTTTGTCTTATTGAGGCAACTTATATTATTAATAGATGCACGTGGTGGAAGCGAGGAGTTTTACTAACTGAGTGGGCAAATTAAATAGCACCGCGGTATTGATTTAGTCAAGTGATCACCTCAGACGTGCCGCTCCGCCGATAGAGGGCGCGATTTCAATAGTAGCAGACAATCATTCTCGCAAGCTGTTCGCGAACTAGAGAATTTTGGTTTAGGAGCACACAACTTGAGGCGTGTGTGTATGAGAAGGTGTCTGCATGTCGGGCCGGTGTTTAGTTCTATATGAAGGATTCAGGATACTAGCTCCACTATACATAAATAAGTACCAGTGGTAACAGTGAATGGGTAGGAGATGATGCCAACTTTGCCAGTACCAAGCTGCTGCCCTCTCTAGGACGATTCCGGTACTAACTCCTGTGGATACGTTGGTAAGTGTACGACGATTCCATGCTTCATTTATATTATTGCTGCTACAACAGGAACCCGAAGATAGATGTACACATTAGCATAATCCTTGGCTGTTTGTCAGAACCAATACTCTCCCATTTACCGAAATGCAGGATAAATCCCGGGACTGGGCCTGGGAACCGGACACATTCAGGTTGTTTCAAGTTGACCTGTCAAATGTCCGGAGATCCAAGTCCGATATCGACCCGAAGAATGTCTCTCATTCACGATAGAGCACCGTGCCTGTCCTGGTTTCTTCACCCTGGGACCATCGTAAGAACCCTATAGTCGGAAACAATGTATATGTGGTCCCGCGTCATACTTTCTGGTGTATCAAGATGCTATCTGTTCGAAACTAATGCAAACTTTAATGAGATTTCGGGAATAGATAAAGTTGATTGTTTTGGAAAGGCAGATAAACTTTTACTATTTTGCTATCGCAACTGTTGTGATATTTTCGTCACTGCTATGACAACTGTTGTCGTACTTTCGTCACTCCTATGACAACTGTTGTCATACTTTTGTCACTTCTATGACAATTGTTGTTGTATTTTTGTCACTGCTATAACATGTTATCATATTTTCGTCAGTCCTTGAAGTGTTGTAGTTCTTTCGTGAGTGATTGACTTTCGTCACTGCTATGACAACTGTTGTTGTACTTTCGTCACTGCTATGAGAACTGTTGTCATATATTCGTCACTATGACTGTTGTTGTACTTTCGTCACTCCTATGACAACTGTTGTTGTAATTTCGTCACTCCTTTGACAAGTGTTGTTTTACTTTCGTCACTCCTGTGACAACTGTTGTCATACTTTCGTCACTCCTATGACAGCTGTTGTACTTTCGTCACTCCTATGACAACTGTTGCACTTTCGTCACTCCTATGTCAACTGTTGTCATACTTTCGTCACCCATATGACAACTGTTGTTGTTCCTTCGTCACTCCTATGACAACTGTCGTCGTACTTTCGTCACTCCTATGACAACTGCTGTACTTTCGTCACTCCTATGACAACTGTTGCACTTTCGTCACTCCTATGTCAACTGTTGTCATACTTTCGTCACTCCTATGACAACTGTTGTCGTACTTTCGTCACTCCTATGACAACTGTTGTCGTACTTTCGTCACTCCTATGACAACTGTTGTCGTACTTTCGTCACTCCTATGACAACTGTTGTCGTACTTTCGTCATTGCTATCTCCCAGTGATCATTTATTTGGATTGAATCTTTGATAATTGTTTAAATAAAACTACAAACTCAAACCCTAACTGGTGATTTAGGTTTGAGGAGATTTCATCTGATTCAGGCAACGTATTTGGTTACGTCTATAATGACTTTTCTGTTCCCGATAATACTGCCATTGACCAGAATCGCAGAGAAATTAAATTTCCTTTTCTCATTTCTTTTCTGTTCTTGGACGGAATGGTATTTCTTCTGATAAAGCGCACATTGTTTTCTCCAGCAAATATTCTTTGTTTTTCATGAATCATTCGACTTAAGTGATGTACATGTACACGGTCTTAGGTGCACACGTTTCCACTTATGTTAATGTATAGTATTATAGAGGGCTCGTTGTATTTAGCAGAATAAAGAAATGAATTATTTGGAAGAAAGTACGGCACGTCCTTAACAGCTAAAATTACAGTACATCCCTAACCTCAGTAGTTGGGCACGTCTCTCACTGCTAGAATACGTGTACGTCCATAACCTCCAAAATTACAACACGTCCTTGACCGCGAAAATTACAGCAGATTACAAACCGATGGAATAATGAACATATATAGCGACATCTACGACATGTCGGACATACGACACCTCTAAAATCGCCGTCATTCATACTTTCTTAATATCTGGACTTCGGTGAGTTTGTCAAGATTATCAAACCTGTCCAAGGGAAAGACAACTTCACCAGAATCGTAATATAATGCTTAAATATTGATCTCAACAGCACACGTTTTAGCCACAAAGACCCATCCGAACAAATCAGAATTGAATTTTCAAAGGTAAAATCTAATATTAAGTCGTAGTTCGGTTACAATTTCCTTTTCAACTATTAAATCATGTCAAAATGACACATGAAGCGCCATCTAAGTTCAATGTCAAACGTAACATTAATGATACAAACAGACAAAGACTAAATATATCGTCACAGCACATGAGATGAACTAATAAGTATATAAAATTTCGGAATGTTATAACGCCAACAACAGTGACTACGAGACGGACGAGAACGTACTGTAAGGTCTGACCACGATATGTACCAGCCAGAAGGGGTTGTGTCACATGCTATAGATGTGTTCTGTCACGTGCTATAGTTTTAGATGCCTTATGTACTGTATGTGCTTTGTTTCACGTGCTAAGCTTGTAGATGGATTTTCTCACGTGCCGTAGATGGATTGGTTCAAGTGATAAGCCTATAGATGGATTGTTTCACTTGATCAGCCTACCGATGGATTGTCTAAAGTGTTCAGCCTATAGATAAGTTGCTCACGTGATCAGTTTATAGATAGGTTGCTCACGTGACCAGCCTACCGATGGATTGTCTAAAGTGTTCAGCCTATAGATAGGTTGCTCACGTGATCAGTCTATAGATAGGTTGCTCACGTGATCAGCCTATAGATGGGTTCTCTCACGTGATCAGCTTATAGACGTGTTGTCTAAAATGATAAGCCTATATATGGATTGTCTCACCTGATCAGACTATAGATGGGTTGTCTCACGTGATCAGCCTATAGATGGGTTGTCTCACGTGATCAGCCTATAGATGGGTTGTCTCACGTGATCAGCCTATAGATGGGTTGTCTCACGTGATCAGCCTATAGACGGGTTGTCTCACGTGATCAGACTATAGATACATTGTACTTAGCCTGTACATGGATTGCACATGTGCAGTAAAGGAGTCGAACTTCCTTGAGTTATGTGTAACATGTGGCCGTGAATCTTGAATTCCTTGGTTTGTGTTTGTATCATACTTGGCCAGGGAGGTGATCTTAATTTGGTTATATTAAAACATGCGCAATGCTTCCTTAAATTGTGTGTTACATATGATCAGGGAGCTGAACTTCCTTGAGTTGTGTTTGTAACATTCTTGGTCAGGAAGCTGAACTTCCTTGAGTTGTGTTTGTAATATTCGTGGTCAGGGAGCTGAACCTCTTTGAGTTGTGTTTGTAATATTCGTGGTCAGGGAGCTGAACTTCCTTAAGTTGTGTTTGTAATATTCGTGGTCAGGGAGCTGAACTTCCTTAAGTTGTGTTTGTAATATTCGTGGTCAGGGAGCTGAACCTCTTTGAGTTGTGTTTGTAATATTCGTGGTCAGGAAGCTGAACTTCCTTAAGTTGTGTTTGTAATATTCGTGGTCATGGAGTTGAACTTCTTTGAGTTATGTTTGTAATATTCGTGGTTAGGGAGCTGAACCTCTTTGAGTTGTGTTTGTAATATTCGTGGTCAGGGAGCTGAACCTCTTTGAGTTGTGTTTGTAATATTCGTGGTCAGGGAGTTGAACTTCTTTGAGTTGTGTAATATTCGTGGTCAGGGAGTTGAACTTCTTTGAGTTGTGTTTGTAATATTCGTGGTCAGGGAGTTGAACTTCTTTGAGTTGTGTTTGTAATATTCTAGGTCAGGGAGCTGAACTTGTTTGAGTTGTGTTTGTAATATTCGTTGTCAGGGAGCTGAACGTCTTTGAGTTGTGTTTGTAATATTCGTTGTCAGGGAGCTGAACGTCTTTGAGTTGTGTTTGTAATATTCGTGGTCAGGGAGCTGAACTTCTTGGAGTTATATTGCGGTGTGTATCGTTTCCATCATCTCCACATAATCAATGCAGAAGCAGGATATCTCGCATTGAACAAAATATATAGGCTTTCGTCATGCAACATGAACATAATTAACTTTCTCTGGCATCATAAATGTTAAAAATCATAAAAACTAAATGGCGTGTTAGACGTTTAAATGGATACCTCATCTGTGTATCGTCAGTGTGTGCGATACAGTGTGTACAGGTTTGGCTAGATCGTTATTACACTACCGCAGATTATGCTACTTCAGGGCGCGATCATATTTTAACATTTTTTGTGATCTGATACCAGATCATCACTTAGGGATATGGTATGATATCTCGTAAATACCATTATCCTGGTACTGTTATGATGTCGCTATGGGGATATGTCATTGTTTGATGTAGTGTATCCTATCTTTCTAGTGTCACTGCATGACGTGATATCGAGAATGTCTGTGTCTATACATGTTTATAAATGATAATGCACCAATGTCCTTATATGGTATGTTATCGCACCAATGTCCTTATATGGTATGGTATCGCCAAGATACCATTTTATTGTATAGTGTCTCGCTAATATAATCATACATAGTAATGCGCTGATATCTTTATATGATACGATATCGCGCAGATGTCTTTATATGATACGATACCGCGCAGATGTCTTGATATGATACGATATCGCGCAAATGCCTTTATATGATACGATATCGCCCAAATGTCATTATATGATACAATATCGCCCAAAAGTCTTTATATAATACGATACCGCGCATATGTCTTTATATGATACGATATCGCGCAAATGTCTTTATATGACACGATATCGCGCAGATGTCTTTATATGATACGATACCGCGCAGATGTCTTGATATGATACGATATCGCGCAAATGCCTTTATATGATACGATATCGCCCAAATGTTATTATATGATACAATATCGCCCAAAAGTCTTTATATAATACGATACCGCGCATATGTCTTTATATGATACGATATCGCGCAAATGTCTTTATATGATACGATATCGCGCAGATGTCTTTATATGATACGATATCGCGCAGATGTCTTTATATGATACGATATCGCGCAAATGCCTTTATATGATACGATATCGCGCAAATGTCTTTATATGATACGATATCGCGCAGATGTCTTTATATGATACGATATCGCGCAGATGTCTTTATATATGATAATGCAC